AGCATAGTTCTATTGTTTGATCAATAAGATACTTATCCTAACACGCCTAACATTAAGCTGTGGTTGAGATACTTTGAATGTTTGTTGCTCCATTCCAACAAGATATTTCCTGTGGTTATTTCTATAGCCATTCGCTTCTCATTATGTTTGACCTATCTTCTGATTAGTTGTCGTCCACTATAAATAGTGACTTAGACCTAGTGATATTCACTTTTCGATTTGACTGCTTGTTTTGCTAAGAAGGTTCATCCTTGAGTTTTTAATGAATCGAACGCTTTATGAATAAACCAATTTGTTATTTAAGGTAATGAATTTTTTCATGTTTTTTTTTGCCGAAAGTAACATAAGTGTTAATGGTTATTGAATCATAATGCATTAATTTTATGCTTAAACTATTGTAAATAAATAAAACTTGTTAAATTCCAACCAAATATGAAACTATAACTGAAAACCCATTGTTTTTCTTTAAAATAGTATTTGTAAATCAAAATTGTAAGATAGCCCAGTATTGTTTATTACTATTTACGGCTACGATAGCAGAAGTACAATTGAAGACAAAGGAGTAATAATAATAATAATAATAATAATAATAATAATAATAATAATAATAATAATAATAATAATAATGGTATTGACGCCAATAAATATAAATATGATGCACATGACGGACTGAATTAATGTTACACATAAAGAGAAACCATAGATTACCTTCGCATAGAATATATATACCTGAGAAATTGTCTCACTTACAGATTATTACAATAATAATTCTTGATGATTTTAAATTTGTTTTTAACAAATTATCTGAACAGTTCATTATGTTATAATTTAAAATTTCACTGCAAATTGGTTTATTTATCAATTAATTATCCAAATAATTTATACTGGAAATCATTTATTAAAGTATTTTTTCAAAGAAACAATTAAATATCTGATGAATGTGAAATTCACATGTTTGTTTATCAGTATACTTTAATATTAATAATAACAAGTTATTAAAATGGTTAGCAGATAGATGTTAGGCACAATTGAATTAAGCAGTTGAACTTATGAATTGATATAAGCTAGACCACTGTTGAAAACCTGGAAGCAAGTCGCACCCATGATCCCGCATGTGAAACTCGAATATAGGACCCTCGGTCTCGCGTGCGAACGTTTACCCTCTAGACAGCTAAGCCAGCATCCAACGGTGTTTTTTAAAAATGCTACAATCTCCACAAATCATCATACTAATAATAAGCATGTGCTCTCTAATAACTGGCTTTAAGATGGATTTCATGGAGCTCTGATGAAAAGCAGTGACCAGTGGATTTCAATCCGTGTCGCGTAGAGACAGTTATCCATCTTAAAAAATAAGTGAAAGATTGAGTAATATCATAGATTGATTAAAGTTAGACACTAACACAGTTGAATTCCAGTTCAGTAGTTTAGAGGGTAAGCATTCACACACAAGACCGAAGGTCCTGTGTTCGAGTCACATATATAGGATTGTGGATGCAAACTGATGAGGAGTCACATACTAGGACGATACGGCCGTCCATTGCTTCCAGGTTTTCAATGGTGGTCTAGGTTAGATCGACTCACGAACTCAACTGCTAAAATTACTACAATCTCCACAAATCCCTATTCTGGTAAAAACTGATTTTATTTCATAACACTTAACTTAAATAGTGTAATTTATGAATAACTTTTCAATTGTCAATAAAATAATGATTTACTTTAGATTAATTTATAAATAAGTTTGTCAAGTTGTTTGGGTATAAAAACATATGAAAGATAGTATTTCATTGTTTCGTTGGCAGAATATCAACAGGTAAGATATCTAATGACATTTTCGCAATATAAAGTGTCTGTCAATGGAGACTGCTGGTTATTGGAAATGACTACTTAACTCTAAGTTGAAATTCCCAAGTACGAGTGAAGAGTGTCAATGAGCGTGTTGTGGGGGTTCAATATTGAAATTTTTTATTTACAGCCGGAAAATGGCGTAGATCCAATTAATGTAGTATTCCAAGCTATTGTAGATTAGTAGCGTAAGATACAATTTTTTTTACTTGTAAACTTAGTAATGACATATTAAATTACTAATTAAATGATAGGTATGATTACTGGGGTGGTCTATATTTTAATGGAATGAATGTGATATGATAAGTTGAATTATTCAGAGATTACCCTGTTAATCAATATTCTATAACAAAATACTAAATTAACAGAAAAATCGAACAGAAATAACAGATGTGTAAAACCATATAATGACTCCTCGAAAGTACAAGTAAATTTACTCGAAATCACTAGACGATGGTAAAATAGATTAAGTACTTTAAGCAATAATTGTATTTCAATAGAATTATGAGCAATATATTTGCAAGATATTATCTATACTTCAAATTGTGTTAACGATATGCATAAATGAATATTGTTGAGAACAAGAGCCACAGGTTTTTAAAGGAATACAATTTGTCGTAGGGTATAGACCGATTATTATTATTGTTATTATTATTAGTTTAAGGAGGTTGTTAGTGAATACGGATGTAATTTATCTTACCTGAAATTTTCATTTTATTTAAGTATACATATAATTGACAAAAGCTGAAATAAAACTGAACTGTAGTCAAGTTTCCCTTTCTGCTGTTTAATCAAATAAAGAAAAAATTCTGAAAAAAATATTGATATAAGCTCAATCATCTATGAGAATTTGGAATAAAGCAGTTGGATTTATAATTTATACTAGTTTAAATGAGTCATGCGGGGTCATGGATGCACACTCCTGGGAAGCCCCATACTAGAACGAAACAGCCGTTCATTGCTTCCACGTTTTCAATGGTGTTCTAACATTGATCCACTCATGATATCGATCTAAACTCAACAATCTAGACAACTCTAAGCTGAAAATCGTTTTATTTCTGTAAAGAGTGAAGCTGGACATTGTTTTCACTGAACTGAATGACAAACCGACATATATGACTGTAATTTTATGTAATTTCATGCATATGAATTTATCGAATCTGTTTAACAAATTCCCCCCCCCGTTTAATTAATATTTAATGAAACCTAACTATTTAATACTTATTATCATAGATTAATTAATATGCTTTTGCACAAATGGCAATGTTTATGGTAATACATGTAATGAATGTTTTGTATGATCTTTTCAACCTTCAAAATCACCCATGTTGTTAGGATTCAAGACTCAATATGTATTTACAAAGCATTTTTGAAATAAACTACTGGTCAATGAGTTCCCATTCCTAATTGGATTCTTCAGTATGTGTCTTGAGACTATTTTAGATAGTATCCTATCTATTCTTCCCACGTACATGTCATTTCAGGTGTAAATACAGGAGTTAAATAAAAGAGTTCTATCATCTTGGTTATCTTCTCTTAGTAAGCTTTTGTTTCATAAGTGACAATTAACTTGAGGTTAGGAAAGATCAGTCCAAAGTCATTACTTAGTCGACCGCTATTAGGCGAGCTGGAACAATCCCCTTTGATTAGAATTTCTTTTGAGAGCTAATTACTTTTTACCTAATTTCATTTGTTGACTTTGAATATTTATTGGTAAACATAGAAATTAAATATTCCAAATCACATTTTTAACACCATCTAAAACTCATATGAATAAAAAAAACGTCTGAATTATAAATAGTCATCAAATTAATACTCTGTAACCTATATACTTCAGACTAAAAATAACAATTTTTGGGGATGTCTTAAAAGTGCAATGTTTAGTAGTTCTGATTTTTGGTAATAAATAAACTATATTTGAATAGATTTATCAGATATCATATGAATATTTATCAAATGATTCGTCATAACTATTACATTCTTATCGAACTACTACTAACAATGTTTATTAGCATTCCCAATTATAAATGAAAATATCCGAATCGTGTCTAATAGATAATTAATGCAACTGATTAGTCTGCACAATCCAATTATTCTTAGTTACCGACAGATACATTTCAACTGCTTAAAATAAATTAGTGACAGGAATCATATCAAGCTAATACTAACAAGTTTCAAAAATCCCATTATAGATTTTCTACATATTTGTCTTAAATAGATTAACTTATCGATGGAAATTTCCAAACACAAAAGAGGATATACTGTCTAAACCTAACCGCTGTTAAACCACTTATTAATTACTAGTCAAGTCAACTAGATCTTTGTATATTATAGAAAATACCCATTTAGTTAAAGAGTAAGAACGTAGTGATTTCCTCATAACTGACGAAATACGTTCCTGTACTTCTTTTAACGTTTATTTAGTGTTCATTAAATCGGTCGATGTAGTCTTAGTTGACGTTACCTCTACATTGTATGATCCTTTTAAATTAATATTATTATGAATATTATCAAGTCTTACAAATGAAGTGTGTAAAATGTTCATGGAAAAATATAGAACCCTAGATATCATTATTTTACAATTGAACTTAGTTATCACTGACATTATTATTTAAAGAGAACTCGAAGATTAGGTTATTACGTTGTTAATAGGGTTTTTTGAACAATCTAACTACCAGCAACTTCGCGTCAATGTGAGCTATCCTCTCTACTTGAAGTATAAATGTTAATACGGGGTCAAAATGGCATTTTTAATTCTAAAAATTAAAGTAATTATTAGTACAAATTGAATGAACATACAAACGCTTCTGTTCAGATTTACTAATTTGAATTCCCCTTTGGTCTCATTTTTTTCGACTATATTTCTACTATATATTTTGATTGGTTAACTGTACGGCAGTTTGCCTATTGGATGATTAAAATATCAAATCTAAAATAATATTTTGATTGGACGAATCAGTAATAAAATTTTACGTGTTTGATACAGATATTTTACAGATTTTTGGTAAGATTTTTACTAAACTAGATTTTTCTTAATGAACTTTTCCTAATGAAGACAAAGCAATTGACTGGTTGATTTATCAACAGAGAGAATTTTTTCGACGACATTCCACTATCTGCCCAAAATTACAATCAAATTATTTAAAACACAAGATATGGAACAAAACATAAGTCCTTCCACAATAGCAGTTGGCTTGTATACTGCTTCAGAAAATACAGATTCTTGTTTGAAACGCCTTGTCACAAAGTCACCATTAGAGGCTATGGCACAAAGATTTGGTGATGTAGTTCGCGAACTTCAGATCAACTTACCGTCTCAGATAAACAATAGATATGATAGTTTACAGTATTCTAGTGATTTCACTAACTTCTCAGTTAATCCTAGAGCTACTTCCTCTTCGTCACTAATGTATCCGTATTTCACTCCCATCCCTCAACTCCACTGCTTCAATGCTGCAACTACTATTACTACTACCACAACCACCACAGTAACATCAATAGCAAACAATACTATTGTCAGTAACATTTTACCGGATAGTACTTCTCACAGTGTTTCTAAACTTCCTCTTCTATTATCGAAATCATCGTTTGATTATTTCCACTCAAAATTATGTGGAACAGTTTCAGTATCGGAAAATCTGTCTAAGATTACGTCATCTGGTGCATTAAAACAAAGTTGTAGTGAATTGCATAACATAAATGACATTGATACTATGACTGGAGATTTCAGTGATCCTTTTATATCATCACATATTTATTCATTAAATTCAGTACAACATTCTTCTCCTGAAAAACAAAACTTTCGAAACCCATTATGCGTTAAATCAAACCATTTAAATAGTTTACAAGAAAATCAGTTTAATGGAATAAATGAATGTGAACTGCACTCTGTTGTAAACGAAGCTACAACTTATGGTTTAAATTTATCATTTCAAAGTGACAAAATGACTAGTCGTGAGAGGTTATACCATAATTTTGAAAACTGTCATCATAGTTTCTTGAATGGAACTAATCACTGTGATATGTTGAATTCAAATAACTTATCAATATTTGAGTGTAAGAACCACTCATATCCCAACAATTTAATAAATTCGAATCTCTGCCTTTCTAAATGTGATTACATTGAGGCATATTCATCACCAATGTTCAATAATTCTTTAGAATCATATACTTGTCCAGATCATTCTGTAAAATATCCAGCTTCATCATCAAATATTTATTTGAACAAATCGATACCTATGTTTTGGTCAAACGATTGCAATAATCCGAATGTGAAACCACCATTTTCCTACATTACACTGATTGTTTCCGCAATGAACTCAAAATTATCAAAAAAGATTACATTGAATGAAATTTATGCATGGATTATGCATACATTTGCTTATTATCGTAAAAATACAAGAAGGTCAGTTGAAGTAAATAAAATAGATGTCGAGTGACTTGTCGAATTTCATACGTAAATGAAGAAGAGTACTGATAAAAAAATAAATGGGAAAGTCGACACTTGGATTTAAACTTAAATAAATATTGTCAATACTAAGTTTTAAAAATTTAGTTATTCGATAAGTGCTATGATTAATACATACGTGTAAGATACAGCGCTGTTTAAACCAATAAGCTGTTGGAAATTACTTAGTAATTTTCCCAACTTAGCCACTGTTGTTTTTCGTTTGTCTCCAGTTAAAATTGAAGCATCGATAATAGTCGTATAAGTGAATCAGTAACTAAAAGTCATAACCAAACAATCCTTTAGAGATGGAGTACTTTATTTCATTTATGACCACAGAATAATAATAATGATTATATATATATATATATATATATATATATATATATATATATATATATATATATAAGGAGAGAGAGAGAGAGAGAAAGTTTGCTCAATTGCAATCTTTAGCATCAGTAACTGGAAAATACAAACCTTTGCCAAATATGTAGAAATAATTTGCTTTTTTTTCAATCCTGTTTCACTAAATGTGATAAATACTACATTTTATATCCATATTATAATAAGTAGATTTACATATTAATTATAAAACAAATCTTGTGTTCAGAATATGGTCTACTCCGTTCAATTTCTATTATAAATGGAGTTTACGCATATGAAGTTAGATGCTATTGGTTTGTCACTTATTAAACGATGTGGTTGATTTGACTGTACAGAAAGCTACCAGAGGTAAACTTAAGTACTCTCAAAAAATCAGTCAAAAAACTATACCTCGATACCATGATTTCCATATATTTACTAGTAAGTTAATTACGGAATAAACTTCAACTGATTACAACTTACTAATGATTAATCAATCCTGTTTTGAAATTAATTTGTAAACGATGCAAGATCGAAATATAACAAGTAAAATAAAGTACATTTCATGAAACCACCTCACTGATTGCTACCCTAACATCAATCACCAGTAAATTGAATATCAGAAAGTCCGATTATGACCTCTCTCAAGCGATGATCAATTAAAATTTATTTTTTTAAATTTAAAGTTCGTATATGGCTGCTTAATAGGGAGAACTGACTGAGGTTAGAAATAGAAACCATTGAGTATAGGGCTCAATAGCCTGAAGGCTAGATGATCGTCACAAGACCTGAAGATCCTAGGTTCGATCCCCTGTGTGGTCGTGAATGCACGCTATCAATAAATTTCATTATAGAGTAAGATGGTTATCTACTTTCTCTTAAGTTTTATCATCTACAAACCTCCTATGCTGATAAAAATTATTTGTTACAACCTGCCTGCTGATATCAGTTTAAAAAAACAATTACAGCTTCAAAGAATGAATATAATCTGTTAGTGTTGTTATGTTCTCTAAGATGAATGCTTCAATTCCCAAAACTCATCATTATCATATTAAACAACATCAGTCGCCTCGATCTCTATGTATAGGAACTGGACATTAATTATTTCATTAAGGGTTCCAAGTCAGTTGTGATAGTCTTATTTTCAACAATATATATATATAAGGCAGTAATAAATACCAGCCGAACAAGAGCAGAAAAAGTCAAGGCACAAGCTGAATACTCAGATGTAAACAAGCAAGTGAAGAGGAGCATCAGAACCGACAAATGTAAATATATGGGAGATCTAACAATGACGGCGGAAAAGGCTGCAAGAGAAGGAAACGTGAGACAATTGCATGACACGACAAACAAACTCTCTGGAAATCGCCGCAAAGCAGAACGACCAGTGAAAAGCAAGGACGGCAAGGTAATCACCAATATTGAAGAGCAACAAAACAGGTGGGTAGAACACTTCAAAGAACTGTTGAATCGACCAGCTCCACTGAACCCACCCAACATCAAAGCAGCACCCACGGACCTCCCAATCAGTGTTGGCACACCAACAATTGAAGAAATCAGCACGGCCATCAGATAAATCAAGAATGGCAAAGCAGCAGGACCAGACAACATCCCAGCAGAAGCAATAAAATAGACGTAGCGGCAACTGCAAGGATACTCCACATTCTCTTCAATAAGATTTGGGATGAAGAACAAGTACCAACAGACAGGAAAAAAGGACTTCTGATCAAAATACCGAAGAAAGGCGATCTCATCAACTGTGATAAGTACAGGGGCATCACTCTCCTCTCAATACTGGGAAAAGTCTTCAACAGGGTATTGTTAAACAGGATGAAGGACTCCGTAGACGCCCAACTTCGTGACCAACAGGTAGGATTCCTTAAGGATAGATCGTGTACAGACTAAATCGCAACTCTACGGATCATTGTGGAACAATCAATTGAATGGAATTCATCACTCTACATCAACTCCATTGACTACGAAAAGGCATTTGATAGCGTGGACAGAACAACACTATGGAAGCTTCTTCGACACTACGGCGTGCCTCAGAAGATAGTCAATATCATACAGAGTTCATATGATGGATTACACTGCAAAATCGTGCATGGAGGACAGTTGACAAAGTCGTTCGAAGTGAAGACCGGTGTTAGGCAAGGTTGCTTACTCTCACCCTTTCTTTTTCTTCTGGTGATCGACTGGATCATGAAGACGTCAACATCTGAAGGGAAACACGAGATACAGTAGACATATAGGATGCAGTTGGACGACCTAGACTTCATAGATGATCTGGCTCTTCTATCGTAAACGCAACAACAAATGCAGGAGAAGATGACCAGTGTGGCAGCAGCCTCAGCAGCAGTAGGGTGAAGCAAGATTCTCCGATACAACACAGAATGCACCAATCCAATCACAATTGACGGAGAAGATTTGGAAGATGTAAAAACCTTTACATATTTGGGCAGCATCATTGATGAACAGGGTGGATCCGGTGCAGATGTGAAGGCGCGGATCGGCAAAGCAAGAGCAGCATATCTACAACTGAAAGACATCTGGAACTCAAAACAACTGTCAATCAACACAAAGGTCAGGATTTTCAATACAAATGTCAAGGTGGTTCTACTGTATGGGGCAGAAACTTGGAGAACTACGAAAGCCATCATTCAGAAGATACAGGTGTTTATTAACAGTTGTCTACACAAAATATTTTAGATCCGTTGGCCGGACACTATTAGAAACAACCTACTGTAGGAGAGAACAAACCAGATCCCAGCAGAGGAAGGAATCAGGAGGAAGAAGAGCTGGAAGTGGATAGGACACACATTGAGGAATGCACCCAACTGTGTCACAAGGCAAGTCCTCACATGGAATCCTCAAGGCCAAAAGAGAAGAGGAAGACCAAAGAACACATTACGCCGGGAAATGGAGATAGACATGAGGAAGATGAACAAGAATTGGATGGAACTAGAAAACAAGGCTCAGGACAGAGTTGGCTGGAGAATGCTGATCGGCGGCCTATGCTTCATTGGGAGTAACAAGCATAAGTAAGTAATTTTTAATAAAACTAGGATATTGACATTTTACTTATTATATTTCTTTTCTTATTTTTTAAATGGATATAGATGGCAAAATTCCATAAGACACGCATTATCGTTTAATGATTGTTTTATTAAAGTACCACGTCCATCTGGTGAAGCTGGTAAAGGTTCTTATTGGACAGTCCATCCTTTAGCCATAGACATGTTTGATAATGGTTCGTCAATGCGACGTAATCGTAAATTTATTGACGAGAATCGTTATCGTCATAATCATAGTCATGCAACTATACATATGAATGGAAAAAAGTATACATCTGTTAAAAATTATGAAATTAATTTAATAAATCATGCTCCTCATTACCACTATCAATCACAAAGAAATATGAATAAAAATGACAATGTACAATGGTCAATTATGATTAGAAAAAATAACAATAATAATAATAATAACAATAATAATAATATACAAGATGACCTCATTTCAACTCATTCAAATTCACGTGGTCAATATCATCTGAACGAAGATGATGATGATGGAGATGATGATGACATTATTGACGGTTATATGAATCAGTTTACTGGAAAAGTGAAACAATCCACTGTATACAACAACGACAATGATAATAACATAAACAGTAAAAATCATAATTCTAAGTATAACTCTAAAGATGATTATATAAAAACAATAACAACGGTGAATCAAATAAAATCTCCTTGTACTACTACGTAAGTCCAACTAGTCAATATTATGAAACTGTACTTAAAATGAATATTCACAGTGATTCATTACATTAAACGAACTACTAACGTGTGTAACATCATATACTTACTTCTGTTACCCCTTGTGAAAGAGTATAGGCCGCCCATTAGCATTCCCCAACCCACTTTGACCTCAGAAATCCTTTCGGATTATTTATAGTGATTTTTCATTCTTTTGATGTCTGCTTTCAATTCTTGAAGCAATATGTTCTTTAGTCTTCCACTTTTCCGTTTCTCTTCAGGATTCCAAGTTAGTGCTTGCCTCGTGATGCAGTCTGATGATTTCCTCAGTGTATGTTCTATACACTTATATATATATATATATATATATATATATATATATATATATATATATATATATATATATATATATATATATATATATATATATATATATATATATATATATATATATATATATATATATTATATATAATTATGTTATAGTTTTTGACGAATACTTTTTAGAAATTGGACAATAATTTAAAAGTACATTCGGACCATAAATGTTAAACATGAATTAAGAGTATGAAAGCAGTAGAACTTTTATTTTTCATTATTAAAAAAATAGAAGTTAAATTTTAACACTATTAATCATTTGAGTAATAACCCGGATTTTCATTAATTACAGGTAAATAAATAGGTGTATTTGTTAATGAATCTTAAAATATGGCTGAGTTGATTTTCTCTTTCAAATGAATGTTCTTTAATAAAAAACAACAAAAAACATGAATAATAAATTAATGATAAGGTAAATAAGTATAATCATTTGATGAACAAATTTAGAAATTAGAAAACAAAGCCGCCACCACTGGAGACATTAATTCAACTAATACAATAGATGAAGGGTTGAGCAAGATCATATATTGATCAAAGTTAGACACTAACACAGTTGAATTCCAGTTCAGTAGTTTAAAGAGTAAGGATTCACACACAAGACCGAAGGTCCTGTGTTCGAGCCACATATATAAGATTGTGGATGCAAACTGATGAGGAGTCACATACTAGGACGATACGGCCGTCCATTGCTTCCAGGTTTTCAACAGTTGTTTAGCTTAGATTGACTTGTGAATTCAACTTCTAAAATTACTACAATCTCTACAAATCTCCTTAAGGATAAAAGGTAAAATTGTTAAATTTTTAATAAACCACTCAGATTCTAAAATTAAACTGATAACACCATCTTTTGAAACGTTGGAAATATTAAAAAACATTGAACAACTGTTTTGACTAGCTTTATCATCGAGTGTTTAATAGGCACATAAAACAACAATAAAATATCAGATCCAAATCAGCAATCGTTATCATAGAATAGATACATTATGGTTAGCAGTAAAATCCAGCGTTTGTGTGTTTCTTCCAATTACGGACTCATCAGACTGATGTATTTAAATCCAAGTGTTGACACACACTGAAACTAAAACACGGTACCATGCGCTTCAAATTTTTTTGACGTTATCTCGTCGACTACTGTTTTGTTTAATCACTATCAGACAGTAAATTTCCAGCAATATCTAGAAAAACGAAGTTTTATGTACCACACTCGGATCAGAAAAGTAGTTATTTTTTAGTAAATTTAGTATGTTTCCAGGATCTTATAGGAAGTCAAGGGCAATCGTAAACCTATAAATAAGATTGATTTCTACAAATAAACTCACTTGAAGTAAAGCTTTTCGTCTAGCTTAACATCCTTATTTTACTGTTCAAGTCCAACCGTAGGAGTGGTATGAGAATATTGAAAGCGGTTGAGAAATCTATAACAAGCGTTCAAATAGCAATACTGTTTGCTGTAAAATAATATTCATAGATCTATAACTACAGAAACTGGAAAATAACTAATTAAAAATAATTATTTGCCTAAATATTTTTTTGTTTTCATATTTCTCTTCAGTTGTTTTTACTCGGCCTAACACATTACTGGACTTTCTCATTTAATTTTTTTTCATAAAGAGAGAAATCATGGAAAACTTTACCCATACCATCAGATACATTAAACTGTTTAAATGATTGCTTTAATCAAATATATGGTAGTAATACTAATACTAACAATAATAATGATAACAATAATAATAACAGCAATCATAAGAATTCCAAATATCTTCTTCCTCCTTCCTTTCATCACCATCATCGTGATCATCATCAGAAGAATTTAAATTTGGATGCTATTACATTCCATGACAATTATCCTGTTAACGATTACAAATGTGAAATAATTTTATCATCATCGTTATCGTCTTCCTCTTCATCTTCCCTTTCTTTTTCATCATCGCCGGCATTTTCTTCCTCTTCCATTGCTATGGCTACTCTCTGTTCTTCACCAACTTCATCAGGATTAATTTGTAATCCAAATCAATATCACCATGATATTCAATCACATAATACATTGAATTATCATCAATATATTAATCATTACAAAAATCAATTAAATCCTTGTTTAAGCTTATTAAACAATTCTTATCAGAAATCAATTAATTCCTCACAGAATTTAATCAATTCAGAAAATATCGATAATAAAACTAGTAATAATAATAATAGCGATGATAATAACTGGAATAAAATTAATGTTAATAATGAAGACAGTATTGGTACATATGATAATACCGATTACGATGACAATGAAGGCAATGTAATTGATTCAACGGATAATAATAATAATAATGATAAATTATTATTATCACGAAATACAATTAAATGGTATAAAGAATTTTCTCTGAATCAAATACTTTAATGTATATATATTACGTAATTAATAAATTGGAGTTTTATTTAAATAATGAAGCCTATTTGTGTCTCATAGATAATTGTTTTATTCAAAATGGAAATATAATTCATGAAAAAAAGATTCAGTGAAAAAAAATTCAAGGCGTGTATTGTAGAAAAATGGTGAGTGTTCTAAATGTGGCTCACCAACTTTGTAGTGGCTAATTTCTTATATATCTCACTCCAGTAAATAGTACCCCATTAACTGTGGATTCAACACAGGCTAAATCTCTTAGTAGAATTATAGATTTATTCGAGATTTATTCAAAATCCTGAACACCAATTATAGAGATAGTTTATTGTTAAAGATTAGTAAAATCCGCAAGCGTGCAGGAAGCAAGCACACATGGAAAAGAGTGTGTGAGCACTGCTGAGGAGTCCCACAATAGGACGAAACGGCTGTCCAGTGCTTCCAAGTTTTCCATGGTGGTCTAGCTTCAATTGACTCATGATCTCAACTGTCGAAATTACTATAATGTCCACAATACACCTTCTGATACTAAAAATCCATGTATATTTTTGAGTGTTAATGGATTGTGGATAACTTGTTGATTGTCTTTGCTTACAACCAATGGGAGAATAGATTAAATATTGATGTGCAGACATGAGCTCAACCAGACTCACACAGAAATTTACATAGTGGATTAAGTGTTTAAATACAGTGAGCAGATAATTAATACAGTAGTTGAATGGGATTACTACAATATTTTTAGGTTGAGTTAAATAACTTCGAAATGAGATGGTACATTTGAGATGTGGTGAGCAGTGAAATAAAGGATGTGTGTTTCGTTCTACTTGAGACTGATCAGCTGGATGTATCTCTGCCTAAGTATTGATGTTCACACTGAAATTGAAACCCAGTATTTTTCGTTTAAAATGTTGAGGGGCTATCTACTTAGCTAAGTAGTCAGAATTACTATTTGTTCGATGTATCCTAAGATATTACAGACTTGTAACTATAACTTATGGTGTAATGGCTAAATAGAGACAATCAGCAGAGGATACACATATGATACTAATGACTGGTCAATCACGATCCTAAATATCAATAGTGGGCAACTGAAAACTCTGACTGGTAAAATCAACATGGTTTTGAATCAAAATAGAAACATTAGGTTTGTAGTTAGATTGATGAACAACTGGTTGGTAGAGAGGTATCTTATTGATTTGATCAAAACTGATATTCTCAAATGAATAATTAATCAAGATGTAAAACTCTCAGATTTAATGAATAAACATTAAAATCGCAAACAGTAACCATTATTCTTAAACAAGTATAAAATTGATTAGTTCGAACTTTTTCATGTAGAAACTTTTGTTTAGTCCAAAAATAGTTGTTCTAAAAAATTAAAGTAAACTAGAAAACCAAACGAGAATCGTAAGGCATTAAATGATGGTTTCGTTCGAGTTTGGGACACGTCATAAGTGTGTGTATCTATAGGCTCATGCAAGACAGAACTTGGAACTTTCAATCTGGATTTTAAAAAATATCATTCCATGAATTACTTGATATAGGATTATTCTTATTCAATACCGGCAGTAAGTTAATGGAAGACTGTTGATGTAATTCATTCTGAAGATTACAACATTCCAATAATAATTTCTGAAATTAATTCTGAAGCCCATACCTAATGAACATAAAATAACAAGCACATAGTTACGTGTTTGATGGCGATCTGTACAGCCTGATATCATAAATTTTTACATACAAGACTAACTGGCTTTTATCTTCATTAACGAAATATATATAATATGCTGATAACATTTCATAAGCTATAAAATAGGTTTCAGAAGTTGAATTCTTAAACTATTTCAATTTTAATTTACTTATAAATTATTGACATTCATCATAATATACCTGTATAGATTATCATAATCTGATTTAATCTAAACAATTAATTTTCTTTATGAAGCATGTCTTGTAGAGATTTTGCATTATTATTATTCAACTGTCTTCTCACTATCAATTTGTACTTTCCATTAATTATGTGTAATTATACAATCTAATTCATTCTGAATGTTGACATAGAAATTGCCTTGACTGGTTTAATATTTTCATCTATCTACATAAATACTCATGTGTATTACTGTAAAGCTTAACAACTATCTAAATGAAGATAATATTGCTCACTTATATATATTATTCAAAAGTAATTGAACGATCCATTGATATTATTTGAACAATAGTATACAAGTTCAGAACTAAAATGAAATAATTGCCTAGATACTAATTTAATATTTACAATGAAAATCATTTTTAAATTAATGAACTTTTTCATTTTCATATTCAAAATTCAAAAATAGCGCGTGAATCGTAAACATAATGAATATTATTATTGAATAAAATAAATTATAATCCCAAAACAAAACAAAAAAAGAAAGAAATACACTATGCATCTATTTAATCTTGATGTAATTGAATAATTAACTGTATTATTATTATTATTATTATTATTATTATTATTATTATTATTATTATTTGATTTTTTCCAAATAGATCTAATATTAACTCAATACATGTTGATTGATTTGTTGATAACTTAATTTCTATTGGATAAATTTAAAATATTTGAGTATTGTTCATATCGATGTTTTGAAAATATAAATATACACCTGACCAGATGTATTTATTCATTAGAAATGTCATATCATTCATTTATAGATGATTGAGGTGAAAATATGATATTCAATTTCTCATCTTGTATTATCTTAAACTGTTACTTATTCTTTTTTCCTCTTCTTCGTCCTCCTCTTCTTCTTCTTCTTCTTCTCATTCACCTCAATATAAAGAAAATAAATTTATGATAAATATGAAGAATTAAATTCTAAAGAATTCAAATTATTTATTTCTATAAAATAATGGAAAGTTTACAGGTTTTATGAAAACATGCATGCCAATGTACGACAGTGCGTGTATATAGTTAATTATACGGTATACATATAACTGAAAACATTAAAAATATAATAACATGCAGACAATTTATGTGTATCTGTGTACGTAAACATGTATCTTTATACATTAATAAGAAAAAAAAATAAGGACACAATGAATTTTCATAGCCTTTTCATATGAATCAATCAGTTATCATCAATAATGTCAGTTATGTGTAAATTTTATTAAAATATGAAAAAATCATCATCATCAATGTATAATTCTATCATAATCCGAAAGGATAGAGTATATTAATGCGACAATAGCGTGCATTCAAAAAATCCTTCTATCAATGATACTCAAATAATAATAATAACAATAATAATAATAGTATAATATTAATATGATAATGATAATCACAATAATCATATAGACTAAGAATGAACTAACTTTTATTCTCAATTTTTTACAGAATAATTTCTGGCTCAACCACGTTTCATTTATTTGAAACGTGACAACAACATGATATGAAAAAATAGTATTAAAACCGAATGGATAAACTTTTATTTAATCATTAATGTATAGAAGATCAACGGTTCAATTGGCTGGTGAAATATGAATTTATTTTAGTATAACACTCCTCGCTTTTTAACTATTGAGACATAAATATATATATGACTAACTGAATGAGTTTCACAAGTTGTAATTAATGGTAATACAGTTTATATCACTTTGTATTTTGATTTAATTAATCAGTCCAATTTATTTGTCATTATTTTATCGAGCTTTGTTATATCAGTCAACGAATCACATTCGTGATCGATAAAAGCTTGGTGATAAAATTTTAGAAAATACAATGTTAGGATGCGAGACTATATGCTTAACTCAGTATAATTCTTGTTCAGTATTTTTTTTTGTCCAAATGTTCGGTACGTTATTTATTTCTTCTCAGTAAGGCATTTATTCAGCATAATAATCTTTGTACTAATTTATTGTGAATTTCGTTCCTTTTTATACGTAGCAGTTCTATGTAAAGCCTATTTATTTTGAGTGTGTGTCATTCTTTACTAATAATCAAATGTTACTAAAATCACTATAAAAATGAGTGTAGCTAATTAAAGTGGTTGTTATGATATCAAAGGGTGAAATAAAATCTGCTTCTGACTTTAGTTTTTCCCTGTTTCCTTGTGTCCTATGAATCTCAATCCCCCTTTGTTCCAAGATCTACTTTCCCAGTTATAAAAGATTTGTTATCCAATGTATTATAGTTCTCAATTGTGAGTGCAAGGTTTCAGTCAGTATAAAAATTTCTTTTGTATTTGTCTATCTTATTTTCAACTAGGCCACAGGTTGTTGACAGGAGATATTTACCTGATTTTTATTTTAACTCTTTTCTTTTTGGTAAGCTTGCGATCGACTTCACTTTATTATTGTTTGCTTATTCCGGGTTTTGGTACGTGCTATTCCTTAAGCAATTTTTTATTTCATTTATAAGAGCTCACGGCGAAAAGTATACAAACCTAATAATACCTCATAAGGAAATATTTATTCGAAATGAATTACAAACACGTTGAGTGAACACCTAATTGGATAAGTACTTGAATTCATCAATGTTTGTTTTGAGGTTGATTCCAATCAATTGCACGTGGACACATGAATGTACTAGAAAGAAATACACAAACCTTTGTTCTTTATAGGGTATGGCTTAACAAGTGACCAATTGAATTGTAGTTTTTATCGCCCACCACGCTGAGTTAGTCTGACCTTGTTTTTATTAAACTGTTTATCAATGAATATTGTAACTATTTTTAACATGAATATTACACATAGGATACTCATTCGTCAGGTGTCCCATAACTGTGTCAATGTGTGCTATTCCAATATTTTGAATATATTTTTTACTTCTATACTATTTACAGTAATCTGTGTTTCAAACACAGGATACAGTGATAATGACCAAGCTTGTGATTTAATAAACTGACTAGACAGCATTATTGGAAATGCCTGATTATGAGATAATTTTAGGCGGAATAAATTAGAGGCATGCAGAAAGCTAACAATAGTTTGTCCTAGTTAATTTCGAGTAAATTGAGCAT